TTCAATGACCTAAAGGTACAAAGCAAAGTAGAATTTTGTCTTCATGTATTTTAAATGAGGGTCTCATTTTGACTAATAAAGATATTTTCTCTGATCAAATTTGACAAATATCCATCATTTGAGCTTGTATATGGTGTAGGAGTATATATATGCTGATATCATTTAATATCATTCCCAAAAAATATTATATATGTGTATACTTGGTGGAAAATTTTTATTTTTTAATTGTTTTTTTAAATTTCATTAAAATTTTTAAAATTAAAATTATTTTTTTATTTTTAATTTCATTTTTATATTTTTAAAGTCAATATACATAACCTATTAAAATTTCATGTGTATGTCATTAATAATAAAAATTTTATATCAGTTTCAAGTTTTTACTGACAGGACATAGTACACAATTAATTTCACTATATATTCTCTACATTTGTTTCTCAGTACTGAACTTTCCACTGTGTGACAATCAATACAAATCATATGTTAATCTAAAATACCTTCAAAGATGACTTTACGGTTTAGTTCTTGTCAAGGGTTGACCTGCATTTTTTTGAGAGGCTGAATTGTAAACAAAACACCAGGCAACGGAACACAGAATTCACTTCCGGATCATCACCATGACCTTATTACTCAATGTGCACTGTCGCCGAAATACACACAGACAACCACACCATAAGCTCACATTTTAAAGAATAAACAATTGCCTTTAAATCCTTACCAAGAATGCCAAAATCTGACTCTAGTATTACCACTAAATTTAGACCGGAAAAAGTGATCTAAAAATAGACTGGGACTACATTCGTGGGTACTGAACCGGATTTTATTAATTGTGTACCGATTCCAGTAGCTTTCGGTGGGTCGGTAGTTCTTACCGGCGTTTATCCAGGTTCTGTCTCCACTAATTATACCGTCCGTCATATAAAGCCAATTTTGTACCGAGAAATGACCTTAAACCCCAAATTAACAACTGTTATGTAAGCCAGGTGAATAACATTAGGTCCACTATGATCTCTTGTGTTATGTTTTGTTAACGATGTTTATTTATTTTAAATTCTTGGGTTTGTGTGAATGCGTTTCTTTTTATATCTGATGACCAACAGTAAGATATTCTGGTTGTTTATATATGTTTGAGCAATTATTTGTATTTTAACTGTACTATGCTGTTGTATTTTCACAATTTCTACCCTCTTAAGTATAAAACGTTTAAATCTAACAAAAGAGTACATCGACTAATGTATTTTCTGATCTTAGTCTTGCGTTGGATATAGCAAATCTTTCTTCTTTTTTTCCCAACGATACTCCCAAATGGCGATTTACTGCAAGCAAACAGTGTATTACACAATCAGTGTACCGAGAAGCGGACTCTTATCTCATATTCATTCGCATTGTGTTTTCGCAATAGTCATATTTACACAACATCTATAATCGATTATTGGTCCTTAAAAGGATAATCCATTTTGCTGTTTTTCACGCTGAATAATTCAATTGAAAAGGGTCTGACTTTATTTTACTATTATCAGTTTTCATTCTTTAAAATGCGGAGCAGTGTTATTTGTAAGTGTCTTTTTCCACGTGGGAAATCATTCACATGTACATTTGTAAACACTATGGCGAGAATAAGCAGTGGGATCAATTGTCTGTGGTCTGCCGGTGTTTTGAAATTAAGACTGACTGGTATTACTAGCGTGTGGTACATGAGAGTTTGCAGTAATTTATGCTTACAGGCAATATTGTCGATTATGTACGTTCGAATCGTAGACTGGGCTCATTTGTAAACGCTCTTCCATGTTAGAATATTGAGTTGCCTTTACGCAAGAAATTTTTAATATCAAGAACTGAAAATCTTAAGATGATTTACGTATTATTGGCTATATTATTCGTACCTGACCAAGGTGTAGAGATTTTACTTATCTTGCCACGCTTCTATCATACTAGCGAAATTTGGAGTTTGACTCTCTAATTCCACTAACTATTCAAACAGCCTCCTCTAATTTTGTAGGGATACTGACGAATTTAAAAAGAAATAAAAATAAAATTTAAAAAAATGGAGGGTTTCTGTATAAGCACAAAGTATAAATCTTGTAATCTTGATTGACAGCTGGAGTGTGAGAGTTGTTTCCCCGATGTTAAATATACGTGGCGATAAGACTATGTCTTACTGACATTTAAAAAAGAGTTCGGGTACCTAGTGTAAATGACGTGGCTTTACAATTGTTATTACAACAAAATTAACTGCAATTATTTCTTTTCAACGATAAACGGCATTACCATAAACATGTTTTATAACGAATTTAGATCGTTCAGCTATCTTTACATTTATGAATTGAAAAACTGGCTGACGAAATTTTATGAAAACCGAAGATTATAAACTAAATAAGTATCGAACAAAATAAATATGCTATTGATTCCATGGGTTTATATGTTACAAAAATTTAGCCACATTTTTTAAAGAAGAAATGCATAATTCACAATTACCATCGGAGGTTGATGATACTCTTTCATCGGTGCAGCTGTACTGATATTAATGTAATCTGCAAATGAGCCCAAAGATCTTAGAACAAGTATTTTTTATTTCCATCTTTTGTTCTGTTTATACACTGATACATAACATTTTGTAAATTCTATATTGATATGTATTATTAATTACATATTTTTATATTTATTTTTCTAATGAGTGCATAAATAATGTTGATTTTTTTTAGTTGGCACCTTTTGTTGTGTTTATGACACGATACAGAGCATTTGTATTTTTAAAATATCATTTTTATTGCTGTTCTTCCCATAAGTATGCATAGATAATATCGAGTGTTGTCACTACTCGGAATCAACAAAGTTTCAGATAAATCTGTAAAAACGAAGAAAATCATGTTCCAATGCTGTTTAGGTCCTCATAGAGGCTGCATTATAGTGAGTACGAGTATACCCAATTAACTGTTCTATTTGTGATTTTTTGGTTAAAAACCACCCTGTCTAACTTGTTATTCTTGTAAAGTTTTTGTATTGTATTGTTTGTTTACTGAAAGGTTAAAATGCTGTACTAACTGAACTTATATACGCTAGATATTAAAGACCTCTGTATTATACCGTATGTACTCGCCCATAAATCATGTCCAACTGCCAACAACATCAAGCCAGATCTGATGGCGCATTATGCAACGGCAGATTTAAGCCTATGAAGTTGGACCCTACTTATAAACGAGTATAGACGGTAGTTAATTAAGGTATGTATTATATCTAAACTGAGCCATAAACTAGTAGTTATGAATACATTCATTTATTTCAAGGATGCTTTGTTATTGTGAGTGCTTTGATGAAATGTTTTCTCAAAGCTGGTCGTATGTTCGTCTGGTTCTCCATTATAATTCAGATTAACCAAATTTAATGACATTTTCTTTAGAATTATATGCTTTTTCGACTATTTTCTTTATTTTAAAAAATAATAGTGATTTTAACTACTGTATCTGCATCTATAACAGCTCAAAACTTTTCTGCAAAAATAGGTACAGAGAATGCATTAAAATCATAATGAACGAAGAAGACAACAGTTTCAAGAAAATATTCTTTAAAAAATTACTCCGACTAGCGATAAATTGTCATTGGTGTAACGGGTTAAACGAGAACGTGTCCGTTTCTATTAATTGTAAAACACGTTTATAAAACATGATAGGAATGTTGAATTTTACACTGTGTTGGGAGTGTTCGTTGCATGCTCTTGTTGACTCCAGGTTCGTGCTCATGTTGAAGTAACCAAATGTATTATATATACCTGTACATTTGTTAGACGAACAATCATCAATTTGCAAATAGTGACGTAGCAGGTTTAAATGTCTGATTGCATCGTTTAAAAATCTAATCTCCATTTACAGTTATGTATATACTTTTGTGGTGATTGTGACAACATGGAGGGTGAGAATTAGAACATTGTTTCAATGAACAAGACATCTTAAAGAATTAATTTATGTTTTCTTCGATGGCATTATAGGCTTTCAGTTGCTTTTGGAATATATCATATTGTTTATTTGAAAATTCACGAAATTGTGATACTATTCTCTGTGATCGTTGAAGTTCTTTCAATAGTGTTTGAATGGGGCATTTTTTCTTTGATTCTGCGTTACAATTGTGTAAACTGAATGTGTTTGACGCATTCACAGAAAGCGTATTAATTAACCGTGCCAAATTTACAGCCGTCCCTTTGATTGCCAAAGTATTATTAAGTAGTTTGCTCAAGTAACATGTTGCAAATGTTATTGAAGGTTTCACTCAGTTTATATCTGACCAACTTTTTCGAATGTTGTTATTAGTCATTCTTTCGACTTGCGCCATTATAACAGAAGGGTTTTATTATTTTTTTAATGTCATTTACAATATTTTGTGCAACTTGAGTTGTATACCTCCCACCTAGGGCTCTGGTATCAAAAAGTTTCCATACGTGAGTAGTAGGAATAAAAGATCGCCATGCCGTTTGTTATCATCTGCACAGTATTTGTGTATTCAAATTTAACATTTACATTAATTTTGTCGGAATAGAAAATCTTCATATAATTTATCATGTTTGTAGCATTTGTATATGTACTTTGATTATCTAGTGATATTGTAAATGTACGATTGCAAGCCGTTAAAAGTAATTCAGTGTGCGTTGTTCGTTTAAACATGTCGAAGAAAAGAGACATTTCTTCATCCAAATGATTCATAATTCTGACAAAACATAACCTTGTTCTCATAATATTGCAGTCGTTGAGTTTACTACTAAACTCATTACGTTCATTTTACAATTTTCTGAATTCTCTCATCATTTGCCAAATTTGAATCAAGTGAATAAAAATTAAATTATTTCCCGTGAATGCCTCAATAATTGAACCTCCAACCGTAACAACAGCGGTTGTAATGCTGCTTGTCCAATTGCTGGCCCTATTTTATGGTAACAAATTGTGATACCGTCTCTGGTCTCAATGAAAATATAGGCAATTCCCCACGTTTATCACCGACACATCTATCTATCGACCGATCCGGTAGTCTAGTGGTAGAGTGTCCGCCTCGGATGCGGGAGGTCATGGGATCCAACCCCAGCCAATTCATACCAAAGACTTAAAAATGTTACTAACAGCTGCCTCGCTTGACGTTCATTATTAAGATGATAGTGTTAGGACTGGTCAGCCTGGTGTTAGGATAATGTGACTAAGTGGGACATGATGCTACATGTCTGCGTCATGATGCCCCAGTGCTAGACATCACTATAAATTATCACTGCAGACATCGTAGCGATATGACTAAACAATTGTTAAAGCTACGTTATCAATCTAAACACACACACACACACACACGCACACACACCTATATATATATATATATATATATATATATATATATATATATATATATATATATATATATATATATATATATATATATATATATACCTATTGATTCACTGACCAGATTGAATAAGGAGTACCCTGCTAGATCAACCGTACGTAATATAGAATATATGTCAACATCAATTTTGTCCAGGTTGTACAATTTTTATATAATTATTTAATCATTCTAATGGCATTAAGCTTTAAATATCATTGGCATGTAAGTTGTAGCTAGTAAAATATGATGTAGTATTCAAAGCCACGTGTAATAATGATTGTATGCGGTAATGTATAACTGTAGAATAAATCAATCAAATCGTATTTATTTCTTTTGTTAATGATTCGTTAAATCAAGGAAAAAATATTTTATATCATCCTGCTACAAAGGCTACAAATCCAAGTTCTTCTGCACTTGGATTTACATGGCTTGCTTGTTTTGCTCTGTTACTACAAATGAAGCGGTTCCTGAGTAAGTTGAAAAATTGGTATGTCATGAAAATATATCATGTCCTATTCTTCATCTTCGATGGTGATATTCAGTCTATTTATCATAGCTCTTTGTAATTGTCTAAATTCTTCTGAAGTCATAATTAAATTGGATCTGTCATATGTAAACTTGTTTTTAAGAACTTGCTCTCGTTTGTTATCTTCCTCTCAGATTCTAGTGTGTATATATATATATATATATATATATATATATATATATATATACATATTTATATAAATATATATAGTTATATATATATATATATATATATATATATATATATATATATATATATATATATATATATATATATATAGTTTTCTTTATTCCTTTCAAAGACCAAGTTCTTTCCATAAAAAAAATATTGTAAAACCCAAATAGTATCAAATAAATATATTTTCCTGGCTGCCCGCACCTGACTCAATACTCTACCCAGTAACACAATGCTTTTATTGGAATATCTCAATCCACTACGAACCTATCATTATTACTTTAGATCATAGATTTTATGACTCATCCGTTAGATTTCATTTTACAGAAACCACCACATAGCTCAACCGCACAATATTTTAAAATCCTGACTCGCCATCTCTTAATATGTTTTATTATTATTATTATTATTATTATTATTATTATTATTATTATTATTATTATTATTATTATTATTATTATCATCATTATCATTATTATTGTTGTTATTATTATTATTACTTCAACAACCATGATATAAAACAATATTACATAGTGGGGAGAATTCCTTGTTCACGCCTTCACCAACCTTTATTTTCAAATACGAATACCTTATCCCAACACGATATATTTTTTAACTCATAGAATACATGTCCCTCGACGTTTTGTTTTCTTCTGGAGAATCATAGATCACAATATAACTACCAAATTTCTTTTGAGGTAAAATTCTTCTCAAGCTACCAACTCTGATTAGCTCCTAAAAGATATGCATTTTATCGAACGTAACTCATTCCAAAATATCTGTTTCCAACAACAACAACAACAACAATCTGATTGTAGAACAGTAACGTTTTACTTCTTAAACAAAGTAACAATTATAAATAATTAAATCATGAAATCATGAAAATATAACTTCAATTTATATTTTTGTAGTTTCAAGTATATAAAGAATTTGAAATAAGCAAAATCATTAAGCACAGTTAGCCATTGAATACAGTCGTCTCAAACAATTTAAAAAATAGTTTTTAGCTGGCTTTACAAAACCTTTTTAATAGCAACTTAACTCTTCGAAGGCTGGAGCGGCAGAGCCGCGCACCGGAAACTTGAACAGTGCCCCACATTGTAAGTACGAACTACACTTTATTAATGACTAATATTTATAATAAATATTAAAATACTTTGAAAAGACCTAAAAAAAAAATACCATCAGCAAACAAGAAACATTATACTCGCATAGTTTCTTGTACAAGTGAATTCTCTTAGAACAATGTTACAAGGGGATTTCTAATATCGATATTAATATATTTATAAGAATATATGACATACTCCTTTGTGTATATATATATATATATATATATATATATATATATATATATATATATATATATATATATATATATATATATATATATATATATATATATATATATATATATATACATATATATATATATATATATATATATATATATATATATATATATATACATATATATATATATATATATATATATACATATATATATATATATATATATACATATACATAGATATATATATATATATATATATATATATATATATATATATATATATATATATATATATATATATATATCCTTTGTAAGTGCATGAAATGCAGCTCTGCCTACAGATTTAACGCCATCTTTAAAATATAGAATAATTATATAATATTGCGAATTAATGTTGTGTTTTGAACATACTAAATCGCATAGGATTTAGCTTATCTGTATGATTTATAGCTTAAATAAATAGATGTCTTGTCATTGGTTGTCGCCTTAGAGTAGTACTGTCCCGGCAGACAAAATTTGCGAAATTCGCACGTTTCAAAGCTTATAACTTCAATTTGGTACAACGCAGAATAGTCAATGATAGCTGTCATGGGTGGAACGAAGTATTTGGAAGTTGTTGTTTTGGAAATTATAGTCGTATACGCATGGGTGTTTGCCTGACGACTTTTATGCTAAAGCCATGAAACGGACTAGAGATCCCACCCTTTCGGGTGGGACTCCAAATTAAAACCTCCCATGTTTTTGGCCGTCAGACTGGGTCCACAGGGAGGCACATGGTCCAGGGCTGGACCTTTTCGCTACTGATCAGACCTTAAGACCTTGACTATTTGGAAGTTACTGACCTTCTCCCTTATGTAGTATGACAGAAAGGGTGTGTCCAGTCAGGCTGCAGTGGTTGTGTGCACCATATTACCTTGCCGATGGGAAGAGGATTTCGATATATTTATTTAAGTGAATAACTAATAAGCTTTGTTAAATTAAAAAAGAAGTCGGATCTATGATGCCCAAACTTTTGTGCATATAGACAAAAGCTGCAAGATGAGTAGACACTGAAGATAATACAGATATCTTGTTGGTTAAATGGGCTATGGAGACTGCCAGACTGGTTATTTAAATGGAAACAGATCATTCAGATGAGGTCTCTATAGTCAAGACCCTCTATATATGTCAAACCCGCTTACATGTTTGTTGTTAATGGGTTAGCATAGTTCAAACCAAATTTTCAAGTCCACTGTATAATTGCGAAATTTAAAAGGGATAAAAATGTGTTTTTGAAGGTCAGCATCGCATTGACCTGTGTGTGTGTGTGTGTGTGTGAGAGAGAGAGAGAGAGAGAGAGAGAGAGAGAGAGAGAGAGAGAGAGAGAGAGAGAGAGAGAGAGAGAGAGAGAGAGAGAGAGAGAGAGAGAGAGATTTGGATTTTGAGCATAGCTTTCACAATTTTTCAATGATATCGCTACGATGTCTGCAGTGTGGCAGTTTATAGTGATATCCAGCACTCGAGCATTATGCCGCAGACATGTAGCATGATGTCCCACCCAGTCACATTATCCTGACACCAGGCTGACCAGTCCTAACCCTAACCTCTTAATACTGAGCACCTATAACTCTTTGGTATGACTCCGCCGAGGTTCGATCCCGCGACATCCAGCATCCGAGACTGACGCTCTTACCACTAAGCCACAGGAAGACCTTCATCTGGAAAGGTCATCATCGAGTTTGTTACGTACATGTGCTGGCTTGAACAAGATTCAAGGCACAAAGCACTACTGGCAATTTTTAAACGAGGTGCATAACGCTGTCTCTAGAAGGTTGCTTGTTTATGAATTTTACTAAAGCACGAGTATTCGTATGGATAAAAGATAAATTTTATACTCGATCTTCACTCGAAATATCAACAGCAAGAACAACGAGGAAAATTTCTCAGAGTGTAATGGTTTTATTTGCGCTGTCTTAATCCCAAAGTCCATAAAAATATTGCAAGTCAAGGACCACGCCGTGTCCATGGGAGTCATCTGTGTACAATTGTCAAACGTCACCCAGAACAAGGAGTTTCAGTTAAAATGATTTGAAAGGTGTCCCAAGTCTTAACTGCGAGAATTATCATCCTGGAGCCAAATATAATATTTTTAACTCAATAGACCAACATTCGCACTTAAATTAATTCATATCGAGGCAAAGTTATCGATGGGGCAAAGGTGTGCTATTAATAACTTTTTTGGCTACCTACGATAGAGAGTTTGTAAATAACCAATATCTTGCAAACTGAACTACATTTCCATGAATAAACATCTATAGCAATAAAAAAAGTTTTAATCTCATACTCAAAGAGATGGTAACAAATGGAGAAATGAATAATACCAAAAAGCATTTGATTTCCTTTTTATGCCACCTCGACATAGCTGCCTGATGGTGGGTGAGATGCTACTATTGCTAATAAGAGTCGCACCTCACCACGTGCTTACTGTTGTCGATCCGCGGAATTACATGCATTGCACAAATTGTCTATGATTTAAATAATTTATAAAAGATTTAATGACAAATTTGAAAAATATTACTAATTTAAAGGTAAGTGCAAACATGTCATTGCGGTCAGCAAGAAATCACAGTGAATAAAAATTATTTCTCTCAGATTAAGCGGAACTATTTTTTCGGTATGTCAAATATTTTACTGGCTATCGTTAGCGAGCATCACTTTATTTAACAGACACTTATTAACGGCTATTTTTGGTAAAGAAACCGCAGAAAATTGCACCAGTCATTAGTGGTCCAAGTAAGGATCAAAGATGCCATTTTATTGTTTATTATAAATGGACGATCGATAAATTTTACAAACATTACATAGGAGTGACCGCCTCTAGCTTATGTTTTAAAACGGATTAGAGTCATTGTCTTCTTCTATTAGTGGTATTTTATCCTTTCTCTAATGCTGGCCCAACGGTCCCAGACATGTGAACATCAACTTAAAGAGATCCAACAGTGTCTGTAATTAACAGTCCAATAAGGATGAAAAAGAGGACATTTTATGTAATGAAAGACGCGTGTATCATGCATATAGGCGTATGAATCACGTGCAAAGTTATATTGTTTACTGGTAACAATATCATGAATAAAAATAAAATTACATACATTGGAAACCCAGCCGCAGATACAGACGCAGCAACAAAAAATACGTCGATGATAAAAAATCTAAATTTGAGTTAGTCAACGGTGGCATTATGCATGCATTTCTCAAAATGATTAATAACATTATTAATTATCTCAGAACACCAGAAACAGATTTCGACGCTGTAACGAAAAAATACGTCGACGATCAAGAATTTGTTTGTGGTATTATTTACAACAATCAACGATGGATTTGTCTCATTTAAAATTGATTTTTCCAAACACATACAAATGTTTCTGAATTTTCGTAGAAATATAAACAGATCTATTAATTACTTTTTTTTGAAGACCAGCGGTTGTTGATATTAAACTCGCTGATATTAGCATAAAACTAAATGATACTGTCAGTGGAGTTCCTAATATCGTTGAAAAAACGAATCTGATTTAAATTTCTCACAAGCAGATCATCAATGTGATATACACAGTAGCATCAGAATCAGCAACATGTACACCGCAAAAAAGCAACAAAAAAAACAACAACAACAACCCCCAACAAAACACTATCAAACATACATACCTCGGAAGTTACTGGTGAGTTTAGTCTGTCTGTATTTAGCGGTGCAAAATTTAGTACCTTTACCACATATCTATCAATCGATAGTTTTTCTGGAACTGTATCTCTAATGTTAAATAAAGATGCCGAAGCAACATTTCTAGAGGAATCATTTTTGATAAAAAAAAAAATAATAATCGCAACGTCTTACTGGTGGTGTCTTGAATGTGTTGCTGAAACACCTAATAAAAATTAATAAATGTATAATAAATAAAACCCAAAGACTGACACTATAGTTTTTAATATTGTATAAAATTTGCATTTTTTTTTATATATAATGAAAAAATATAGTATAGTTGATTTTAATCATATTTCAAAAAAGATTCTAAAACAAGATGTGGACGCTCTTATACAATATTACAGATGTCATCATAAAAAGATTGATGCGTAAAAATGCTACAAATAACAAAATACTTTGACCATATTTACCACTGCTAATGACTAGCTCGGGTATAATTTCAAGATGAGCATAATTAAATCCGATTTTGTTTATAATATCCGGCGTTGGTGTTTCTCTTGCAACAGCGTATAACAAAATTGAGCCTCGATTCGCGACTAAAAAGTGCTTGTAAAACAGCAAGTATCACTATACAAACTTACATTAAAAGATAGGGTCTTATTTGCATCGTATAAAATATGATATGGACGATTTCATACGAGAGTTTTGTATCAATGACAGCTTGATAATAGATATTCTGCCAATGAGAGTCAGTAGATATGAATAAAAAAGATTATAATGAAATATAGGTTACAACAGCAGTAGATGTCTAATTTTGTATAGCTTTAGTTACATGATTATCAAATAAGACATCAACTATATTGTCAATAAATGCCATTAGATCATCTGCCCAACCTCTTATTCGGTCGTCATTTTCCGTCGCGAATAACCAATTTGATCCATATTTTAGTGATATATGATAACCAACATTTTTGATACAACTGCTTATTATTTTAGTTCTTATGCTAGTATAGCTTGAGGCTGAACTGATTAAATTTAATCTCTTACAAAATATGTTTCTTAAATCAAATCAAACATACCGTGTTGTGTTATAATGATAAATTTTATATAAAGTATTCATTTGTTTAATAGAAAAACATCTATTGGTCTAGAATCTCCTTTGCGTTTCAAAATGTCATCATTTTTTGAGATACAAAAATTGGAGGAGGGTGATTTTGGAGTGAGAGGGATCTCTGAGGTGGTAATAAGATGTCAGAATAGAATTATTTTAGTGGGGGGGTGACCTAAAATCTAATTTGGTTCAAAAACTCAGGTAACTATACTACTTCATGTGTTTTCAAAGCTTTAGAACACATTTTTTGATCTTCGTAAATCGTAAGTCTTGTTTCACATATTTACCTTTTCTGTGTGTATTCTAGGGAAATAAATAATTTTTGTTCAAATTTACAAAGCTTTTTGTCTTCACTCCTTTTTGTGTTACTTTGAATGAGCCGGTACGTAACAAGGGTCACAGCAGATGCCCGTGGACTATGCGACAAAAGAAGAGAACTGAAAATGGGAAAAATACAGATCATGAATGAGCTAGAAAACACAGAGATAAACAACATGATCAGAAAAAGCATGAAAAAGGCAAAGGAATCCTGGAAAGAAAGACATGCTGAAAAATCGAATACAGTCTGAGTAGAAATGATGGCAAAATGGTTTATCAACTGGTGAAAGAACTGATAACACATAAACAAGAGAAAACTACCACAAATCAGGAAAATGCCTCACAGAAAATCGAGAGATCTTTAAGCGATGGACATAATACTGTTCAGAATCATACAATCATAAGACCCAAGGAGATCCAGCAGTACTAAATTGCATTCGTGCAGAAGAATTTGATGACAGTCGCATTCTTTGTGAGGAATTACAAATTTCAGTTAGGTCACTAAAGAAAGGAAGTCAGCCGGCGTCGACAAAATAACAGCAGAGCTCATTCAAACAGGAGGAGTAAAGTTACAGTCCTAACAACAAGATGCAACAAGGAATGGCAGACAGGAGAATGTCCCACCACATAGACTCAATCCTTGGTCATCGTGCTCTCCCCCCCCCACCACCACCAAGGAAACCTACAGCTATGTCAAAAACTACAAAACCATCAGTCTGATCAGTCACTCGAGCAAAGTCATGTTGAAGATAATTCTCAACAGACTAAAGATTCAAGCAGAGAAAATTGTTACTTAAGAGTAGGCAGATTTCCTAACAGGAAGAAGCACCACAGAATAAATCTTCAATCTCAGAGTTCTTTGCGAGAGATACCTTCAAGTCTTTATAGATTTTAAAATGGCCTTTGATAGGGTATGATCTGCGGCCTTATGGGCAACTAGGAGGAAGTACAACATCAGCTTAAACTTGGGGCATGTTTTTGAGCACCTTAATGACAAATCACCAGTGCTCTCCTTGTCAATGGCAGCAGAGTAGTCTGGTTTCGGACAATAGTTGGAATCAGGGATGAATACTGTCACCTTCACTCTTCAATATTTTCCTGGAAAGGATCATGAAGGATGCCTTGCATGACCACAAGGGCATTGTCAGCATCAGAGGAAGAATAATCACCAACCTTCGCGTCGCAGATGATATTGATGGTTTAGCTGGGGATGAAAAAGAATTGGCTGACTTGGTTGAGCGCCTTGACACAATCTCACAGCATACGGTATGGAGATTAGCGATTAAAAAAACTGATGACAAACAATAATAATGGCATCAGTACAGAAATAAAGGTCAGTGGACAGAAGCTGTAAAGAGTCATAAGCTTCAAGTACTTGGGACCAATTATCAAAGATGAGGGATCCAAACCAGAACTGCTTTGTAGGATTGCCCAGACAACAGCTGAAATAACAAGATTGAGACCATTATAGAAAGATACCAACATTTATTTTGGTTCCAAAGTAAGGCTGATGTGCTTGATTGTCATATCCATCTTTCTGCATGCTTGTGAAACATCGACGTTCACATCAGAGCTACAAAAAAGGAT